TCTCTCTCTCTCTCTCTCTCTCTCTCTCTCTCTCTCTCTCTCTCTCTCTCTCTCTCTCTCTCTGTGTGTGTGTGTGTGTGTGTATAGTACTGTATACACACACACCCCTAAAAAAAAAGAAAAAAGAAAGAAAAAAAAAAGAGCGCATCACCAATTTGCACACGGCGCATGGCACATGCGCACTGACGGCGCACCGCAGAAGTGCGCTGCAAGTATAGTTCCAACTGTAAACACTCATCTGGATGTTCATTGCATGTGTGTGCGAGGTGGACGGTGATTGACTTGAGAATCATTGCATAAAGCGGGAAATGGAAAATAATTCACATGTCAAGGATTAGGTACACCCAATTACAATTCAAAAAGAGGAGTACAGATTTTGGTTTTTCACACATCAGGGACACTGAGAAGTGAATAGCCAAACTCTGCCCAGAAGTGTTTTGTCTGCAACCTTTGTCTGTAACTAGTGCAGTCCTGCGAGAAGAATTTTCCTCTGAAGCCTTCTGCACTCCGAGAATATGTACTATTACTGGAGTCTCACTTGATTCCGAAGAAGCCACTGGTTGTCAACAGTGGAAGGGGCTCAAGCTCCGTGTGCCTATCCCATAGCTGATTCAGTCTGGGGTTGAGAACCCTTTGTTTCCTCCTTCCAGTGGTTGAACAGGGGGCTTGTTAACAGGGGGCTTGGTGAACACAATCTTGCTAGGGGGCTGGTTAGTATCTGACAATACAGAGCATGCTACGAGATGCATGTGTCACCAAATGTGTCATATGAAAAACAGGGCACTGTCAAACGGGGGTCTGGTCAAACGGGGGCCTGCTCATAACCTTGGTTGAGGCTCATATGTGGGCCCTCTCTTTGGGAAGGGTTTGGTGGACGTTACTACCTGTGGCAATGGAGTTCTCGCAATGGGGTGGGGGTGGTTCTGGTTTGAAAGGCAAACTTGACTAGGATGGAGACACAAGCAGATATAGTCTGTATTGCATGGTGGCATAGCCGGGCATTTTGACTAACTACACCAAATGTGTGGTGTGCGGTACAATAGCAGGGACATAAGGCAGATCAAACGGGTGCGCCCTGATCACGGAGAGCAGGACTACAGTGATGTTTCTGGGGAGGGTGGTGACGACATTCCACACAGGGTTGCAAGTAGGCTGAGTCCTATGTCAGGCGGTGGTGGGAAAGACGTGTATGAGCTGCAGGAGCAGGTATGTGGTCCTCCAATAATGAGATTCTGTGGCTGAAGAAGGAAAAAGAGGAGTTGGAGGGAGAAGTGGCTGAAAGTCCAGTGACAGAGTGGTGATTGATGTTGGGATGAAGATGAATGAGGAGGTAGGCTTTATATCTGTTCTCCCTATTCAAGTCTCAGAAAAAAGAAATTGCTGCTGTCAGGGTAGCCGGCGCTCGGACCGGGCTGAATGCCCAAACCTGAACAGCAGAACGTTCAGCACCCCCCTGGGCTGCGTTTGACCGAACGGCTGAACTGTTCTTTTTTTTCTTTTTTTTTTCTTCCCCCCTCCCCCCCAAATGCGTTGTGGAGCTGGTGTTCTATCCCTAGTCCCTAGACTCGTATAAAAATCGCTAATGTGAGATATCAGACGTCCGGGCCGTCCGTGGTCCTACTGCGCCGACGGCCCCGGATCGTCGGACAATCTTAATGTTGTAAGATCGGGCGAAGATCTGGGCCGTCCTTGGTCCTGATGGGACGATGTCCCGGATCGTCGCACAATCTTAAGATTTTAAGATCGCGCGAAGATAAGGGCCGCATGTCGGGCACCACTGGGCCAATGGCCCAGACTAGAACTTTGCAGGCAAGAAAAGGTCCTGGGCTGCTCCCCTATTTGGTAGCGCCGAACGAGGCACGAACTTGGTCATCGGTAAACGAACTTCGACCGTTTGGCTGCGCAACAGCAACACACACCACACGGACACCACACAGCACACGGACACCACACAGAGGCATGCACGCGAACGCAAGCGCACATGCATGGACACACACGCACGCATGCACATGCATCCTGGGCAGACTGTCGGGGTTCAACCAAGACACACCACACAAATGCACACACGGGAACACAAGCGCACATGCACGGACACACAGACGCATGCACATGCATCCTGGGCAGACTGTCGGGGTTCAACCTCCTGATGAGTCGGTGAAAGTCTGACGAAACAGTCTAGCACAGTCACGCTTTTCTTTGTGGAGTTGTGTATAGCAAACATGACAACAAGAATGCATGAATACACGCACACGCACGAGCACACAATAGTGTCCATGTGTTTTTTTTTT